TCGGGTAGGAGATATCATATATGAGCGGTCAGACCTGATATAAAATCGAACAGACCCGCAAACTAAAAGAAAATCCGAAATCACCCCGTCAGTCGACTCATAGGTTGACTCATCAGTCGACTCATGAGTCGACTCATAAGTCAACTGAGCAGATATAAATTTTTAGATTCATGCATGTTTTGCTATTCAGCCAAAACCAATGCACAAAACTCTATGAAACCACACTCATACATGTCTAACAACTTGTTACCAAGTATATCCATGACCTTAAGTCATCTACCACAAATAGAATTATTTATCATTAATAATTCACATATACTTCTAATAAAATATGGGGTTTTACAATTAGGGTTAGGACTATTTGGGCTAAATGTAGTTCAATTAATGTTATTATGGTTTAAATTAGGATTGCAATAATCAAAGTTGTTTATTAAGGGCTAGGATTAAGGAAGTTTTGGAAAAATGCAACTTGATTAGGGTGAGTAAGTCAAATATAATTGAATAATAAACTGTAAAAATTATAAAAAAAAATAATATTTTTTATGAAGCACACCTTAAATGGGAGAGAGAATGATATGGGGGTAGTAATGGCAACTTTGAGGCGCAACAATGGTATCACGGGTAGCGATTGTTGAGGTTACTGAGGCGTTGTTAGATTTGCAGTTCAGAGAAGAGACGTGGTTCAAACAAAAATCCCCGTAAAAATAAAAATGTAAGAGAATACAACCTCTAAAGATCTAAAATTTTACCTAAAAGTCAAAATTATTGAAATCAAGCAAAGGAGGAGCGTAGAGATTGTAGGGGTCAGTAAAGCTCATTAGCGGTGATTGCGGTTGAGGAGGAGGAACGGCGGTTGGCAAATGCCATCTTGGATTAGCGTGAGATCTGGTGGTTGTTGCTATGGTCCAAGTCAGCAGAGGTGGGTGGAGTGGGTGGTCGCTAGTGGCGCAGTGGTGCCGGGGCGGTGGTTGGTGGAAGAGAACACTGGTGAGTGGCATTGTGGAAGCCGCGTGGGTGGATATGGCGCTGGTAGAATGGCGCTGGTTGTCGCTGGTGGAACGGTGCTTAGGGAGCGTGGATGCGGTCAGTGCTGGAGTAGGTGAGCAGCACTTGGGGAGCGACGCTTTGTGGAGCATGGATGCCGTCAGTGGTGGAGCAGGTTAGGGGAGCGAAAAATTTGGAGAATTCCAAAAATTTAGGAATTTTGAAATGAGTGCGGCTAGGGTTTTCTCCATTTTGTTTTTTTCAAGGTGGGTCCCACTATCTTAGACGGAAATTTCCGTTTAGGATATATCCTACATGGAATTTTTCATCTAGGTTAGTGAGACCCACTAGAAAAAACTACTTATTTTAATTGGGTCCCACTATCCTAGATGTAAAATTCCGTGTAGGATATTCCTAGTCAAAAATTTCTATCTAGGATTGTAGGATCCACCTGAATTTTTTTTAATTATAAATGACTGTTTAGGATAATTTACATAGATGGTTTTCCGTCTATGATATTTACATCCTAGACGGAGTATCTTAGATGGAAAAATTTCGTCTAGAATGCTCACATCCGAGACAGAAGTTTTTGCGTCTAGAATACTTTGTCTAAGCTGCCTCGTTTTTAACTAGCAATGAATTTATTCTCCTAGAATGTTAATTTGAATATATGCACGTAATGACCAGCCAGTATGAAGGTTTCTTGAGAGTAGAGATATATATGTTTTGTATGAGTCTATAACAAAAGATATGAAACGAAATTCAAAGAATACATAAGACAAGCAAATAGAGTACCCAGTGCATCCAGTGAGGAGATTTTTGACTCATATATACCACAGACAGATACAAGCAATTGAAGCATCAACTTATCCTAGGTGATACATATATTGATGAGCAAAGAGATATGTAGAACAACCAGCAATGCAAATTTATACTTCTTGCAGAAAAATCACGCTCGTTCTCTGAGAGCTAAATGTACCTAGCTTAAGCATAGGTTGTACACGAAATTCAACCAGAAACTAAAACTATCAACTTGTAGAAGTTCATCGATCACTCTTTCTAGTTCATTGAACATTGGATTATACGAACGCACACATAAGAAACACTCATGGACGACCATAAACATAGATCTTCCAACAGGCAATATCAGTCGATCCGCTATAACATGATTTTGGTCCAAATTGATACCATGGACATAGCATCATGACTACTGACATTCATAGGATTTTTCACGTCCATTAACTAAACTGACTGTATCCACTCTTCCCCCACCATGAGCTTTATATTGAACTTCGCTCTATTTAAAGTCTTAAATATATACAGTTTGAGCACCCCAAAAATCTAGTAGGTACGTAGTATTCTCAACATTCTAATCAACTCTTTTGAGTAAAATTTCTGAAGTCACTCACTCTACTTACAATGTGAGACTATATACCCAAACATGAAATCTAGAATCTTAACACTCCTATACATTATCTATTAATACTGCTACTATTTTAAGGAAGACCGAAACATTGCTCTCTATCACTACCATTCTGGATTCATGAGCACAAGACACTTCCTACTATCTTTTCTTTCCAAGAGAAACTACTTGAAGTATCTACTCCTAAATTTTGACACGTGAATCACAATACCTTACTTTAATTGTAGGATAAGAAGATAATTTTACTGTTTCATCCCAAATCAATCATTCAATATGATATATATATTTTTTCACCAAGAGATATAAAGTGCACAATCTAATCATAGTAAGTAATTAGGAATAAGATAAAAACTTTACAAGTTCCTAGAAAGTGGCACTCTTATTTAAAACACAAATTTTGGAGAAAAGAGTAGGCATTAGTGGAGCTTGTAGGGCCAAAGCACACATTAAAAGTACACATTACAATTGTAAAGTGAGAATTATTATTCCTTTGATCCCATGAGATGAATGCTTCCAAATCAGAAGTTATTAATTACTTGTCCATTAGCTTTTCAGAGGTTTAAAAAGCATGTGAAGGATAAAAATCTCTTTATTAATGTTTAATTTGGGATAGCTGCATGCTCCTTCTACTTGTTTAAGCTCCTATTATTGAGCCTAGTTAGTGATTGTTAATTACTTATTAGTTGTTTATTGTTTCCTTAATTAATCACTGACTCCTCTTAAAGGCTAATTAAGTGGAGGTGCAATTAAAAGTATGCGATACAATTGCAGAGATGATTAACTAATGGTTTACAGAGAGGCTAATTGCATTGCAACAAACTTGTGCCGCGTCATATATTCTAGTCCATTCTCAGTTTCTGGTGACAAGATTAGCTTGTAGGCGTGCATTTCGTACGATTCCAGTACAAGGGAAGAGAACCTACTTAATTTTAAAAGCAATATAATGAATATATAATCGATGGAAGTTCATCATCTTGAATATTCAAAGAGTTGAGTTGCTATATATATTCGTGCAATTTAGAAATTCTGAAACTGCATTAATTTCTTGCATTTCATGTATCTCTCTATATATATTCCCGAACATTATAATGCTCATCAGAAAGTATTGCAAGAATTGCTAAATCTGTAACTGTGCCCTTGTTGATCATACAGTTTGCATGATTCTAAATCATGACTTGTCTGGTGCTGATTATGATAACTGAAATACATAGGATAGTTAATATCATGTTTAGTTCTGATAAAATTTTTTAATCATTTTGTTCAACGCAGAATCAGAAATCATGCACCAGTTTGTTTTTAGTTCATCGAAACAAACCTAAAAGTAGCTAGCCTTTAAATTTCCCAGCGGGTAGAAGACAAGTTGCTCAATGCATAGTTTCAAAAATTTCACATGCTAATGCCTAATATCGGCAAAACGCCTAATATGGGCAAGCAAAAGAGATTGACAATAAAAAAACAAAGCTCAGGCACGTACACAATGTTATAGCTTTGCTATGCCATAAGCCTAACCGAGACACACGAAACTTTAATACAACGCGGCAAAGTGGCTAAGGGAATTGCTTGTGTCCACTAGCGAAGTATTCTACTCTTTATGACTGTGCTAGTACTGGATCTGGATGCAGGTAGATTTGTGCATATTGATACAGGAAGCTGAAGCTATTTCTGGGAGCATACTCTAAAGTCAATTAGATAGAGCCTGATTAATGGGGGAGTGCATGTTGTGCATGTCCCCTAGTGTATACCTTTTGTTGTGATATCTCTTTGAGGAGTATCTTGATGTACAAAACTTACATATTTGGTAAATGAAAATTAAACTCTTCATTGACCAAAAGAAGTATTCTACTCTTGTTATTACTTTTAGGTCAATTCATATATAGCTAGAATCTACCTCAACTTCATTGGCCTTAGTAAATATACTCAATAGTACAAGTGAGGCTTTAGTCTTAACAGAGAAAGTTTGATTTATATTATCAGATTGACCTAATATATTCTACATAATATGCTAGTGGTTATCATCACATAAGGGGCCAACTCAACAAAAACTAGTTTGCATTAACCGAAAATGAAACAAAACAAAACTTGAGGATGAGTTTGAGCTTATGTCACCTCCAAATGGAATCTTATGTAAATCAGTCCATATTAAAGTTCAGCATTACTATACCAAAAATTCAAAGTTGCAACGGGGCTAAGATTTATAACTTTATACTCTTCCTGCAGGGGTAAGTTGAACATTATTTTCATGGGTAGAAACCTTCGTTTTAAATACATATGTCTAGTGTATTCGAACTTGTGTTATTCTAATTGTACCAATATTTTCATTGTACCAAAACTCGAGAGTCAGGGTGAAAATTAAGAATTATAATTTTATATCAATATACAAGTAGTAAATGAAATGAAAAGCAGGCTACTTAGGCTATCTGTACATAGCAAAAAATTAATGTAGCTTTGTAGGCCATTAGGGAGACCAAACCAAATTAATTATTCATTACAACATCATCCCTAGTTGTTTATAAAGGTAAGCAAAGGAGCAAACCCTTAAACCTTCATCTTGAATCAAAACAACAAGAGCAGAAAACAGCGCATCAAATTAACGTAGTTCAATCAAACAAAATCATATATCAATATGTCAGGCTTCGGCTCTCCTTGTGGCGCTTGCAAGTTCTTGAGGAGGAAATGCGTTCAGGGCTGCGTTTTCGCTCCTTACTTCTGCCATGAGCAAGGAGCTGCGCATTTTGCAGCAATACACAAAGTTTTTGGTGCAAGCAATGCATCTAAGCTTCTCTCCCATCTCCCTGCTTCTGATCGTTTGGAGGCTGCCCTAACTATCTCCTACGAGGCTCAAGCTCGCCTCCAAGACCCTATCTATGGCTGTGTTTCTCATATCTTCGCCCTCCAGCAACAAGTCAGCCTTGTCATATAGTTTTTATGATTTCTGAATCTATTCGATCATTTCTTAACAAAACCAATGGTTAATGTTTTTTGTTTGATCTTGTAGGTAGTCAACCTACAAGCTCAACTAGCTTCTCTAAAGGCCCAAACCGCACAAAATTCACAAGTTCTTCTATCGAACCCCTCAAATAGTGAATCTATGTTATGTTACAATAACAATTATGTTCATCCGAATATGATCAGCAACAATAATTATGGCATTGGAGAGGGGTCTTCTTATGCTGTGGACATGGAGGATCTCCAATCAGTGGCCTATGCCTATCTCTACCGACACACATGAAAGTACGAGCTCGAGGATGATGATTGAAGAAGATATAATATATAGATTGATTGATTGGGTAATGATAATTTTGCCATTTTTGAGAGTTAGTATTGATTATTCTTGAACTAGGATTCTCAATTATTTTTGAGAAATGATAGGTGTGGCATTATACTAGTATTGTTGAAAAGATAAGAAGAACAAATAGACATATTCATGCCCTTCATTATCCATACATATGAAACTAGTACATAATTATTGATTTGTTTGATTTGTTAATGTGTTATAGGCGTTAATGATGAAGATTAAATATCATGGCTTTGGGATTGTGAATGCCTTGGTATTGATGCCTTGGATGTTAATTATGTGGGGAGACATTTGAAAATGGTATGCACTAAATGTGTTAATTACTCAAAAGTTAGATAAAAGAGACAATAATGTTTGACCTCTTGTTTAGAATACACGCAAACTTGTGAATTTAAAACTCTAATTACGAAGCAATCTTAGGGAATGTTTCTTGTGAAGGCGTAGCTTGTGTTTAAATGGATAGAGAATTTTATTGAAATTAAAGAAATTAGGCAGTGAAAATATTTATATATAACTATTCTGTATCGTATTGGGTCTTCTGAGTGTTATTTGGATTTTGGTTTTATTTTCATCTACAAATTAATGTATTAGAGTACTGTACGTCCTCGAATAAATTGCTTGCAACTCTTTATTTTAATACCTTTATAGTAAAATCTTATCATGGAACGCCCGGTTCTGGCCTCACCATTGAGGTACAAAATGCACAACAATGAATGGTTTTTTTAAGGTATCTGTAGGATCAACATTTGGAACGATTTTCATATTCCCCCCTCTTCTGAATGAATCTGCAGTTAATAGTTCTTTAAATTTTTTTTTTTGACACAGACGTAATTAATTAGCAAAACAAGAAACTGACCTAAAAATGGACTAACGATGAGTATATCTATTCCTTTATACAAATAGGAGGATCAGAGAATTCCTATTCATGCTACAGTAATTTTAACAGCAAAAAATTACTGTAGATATTTCAAAAAATGCGAGTCACTGTAGCACTCCTAGGAACTCGTGATTGTTTTTGAACCATGACTCTATCACTGTAGCACGCGCGAACACTGTAGCATTTTCGAGATGCGAGATGATGTAGCCATTCAAAAACTTACCGTAGCATTTAAGAAACATGATTGCTGTAGTATAAATAAATTTATCATCGTGCTTTGCACAGACCACAAACTAGTCTTGATTAATTTTCAAAGACTAAAGAGTATTAAAGAACTAACTTAGTGTGTGATAACAATTTCAAGAGAGCCAATGAATGAACTCCTGGGAATGGAGAGAGGTTTAATGAGAAACAAACCACCTGCTTAATTGGAGAGATGTGTTGGACTAGATGGGAATGGAGAGCGGTTTTTTGGTGAGATTTGTTGCATGCTGGTTGTGCAGTGTGTATTGTACTCCTGGAATGTGTATTGTACTAATGGGAATGTCTAGGATTGATACGTGGACGTACTAGAATATAAACATATAATCATTAATCTTTACCATAACTTCGGAGTTTTGATGTAATAGTTGGAGGGACTTAATTTAAGAGGACATAAATTTTCAATTGGTAAATGGAATTTAATTCAGTAATCTAAAAAAGAAAAAAAAAGATAACCCACTTTTACTTCCTACAGCTGAAAATTCAAACTAACGAATTATAATATTTTCAGTTTTTTATGCCACTTTATAAATTATTAAATAGTAGTTCCCAATATCAATAAATGTAACTATGGTATTAATGTATATATTAATCTCCAGCTTGTGTCAAAGTTCTCCATCCCTGTGTAAAACGTTTTTCATTGATTTTTGGTATTCTTTCTGTCATGTACGTAGTATTCCTCAGTGTACAATTATTATTATTATTATTTGAGAAGAATAATTCCTGAATGTACACTTAATTTGTTCTTCTAGTTTCCATTAAAAAAAACAGTTATTGCTACTTTCATTCTCTTCCCTCGAAGAGTTAAAGCTTAATCTTTTATTGAATATAAGAATAACATATTTATAAAGATAAAATTATGTATGTCAACCAAATAATTTTTTACCCTTTTGTCAAATGTTTACGAGGAAAATCTTTAATATATAAGAAGGAAAAAAGAGATGGAAATATGTTGAAGACAGATGAAACATTACATGAATTACGGAAGTATTTACCTCCTTTTGTGAAGTTGATTTATCATTTTTTCATGTTCACAGGTCATTTCAATCTTCCCAGTGCTGTCCACAACTATAGCGTGCATATTTAGGGTTACACGTTTACGTCAAAAACTTTCAGAATCATTCACCCTGTTTCTTCGTAAGGAACTACATTAGTGGTTTTGTTTTTAATGAAGAAACCCTTTATAACAGCATGATGTTTGGCCACTTGGAGAAACATTGAAATTTGATACATCTTTGTTTGTAGTAGCTTACTATATATCATAAGAATAGATGGCTTATGAGACTTTATTCGACATAATAAAAATCCTAATGACTGATTTGATTGAAAAGAAAGAAAGTCACATGCATGGTGAAAGAGTCTAATTAAGATGGAAAAAGAAAATAAATATAAAAAACTTTATCTAATTAGCTATTGCATATTAAGTAGATGTGCAGAAAAATATACTAAATATTTATATTTGATAGAATATGATTACAGATGTAAGTATGTCATAAAATATTTAGATCTGTATCAGAAATATTCAAATATGTTGATATTGAGAGTTGTAATTTTTTTGATGATGCACTGACTCCACCAAAGTAAACCCTAAATTTAATGTGAGCAATTTTTATCCCTTGTGAATAGACATAGCTTCTGTAGCAATTCTCCTAGGAGGAATTACCTTAAATCCCATATATGCCTTGAGTTTGCTAAATATAACTGTTTTGTGTCCGAAAATTATAACTGACTTAAGATTACAATTTCAAGATTACAAAATAAATAAGAAAAATCTTGTAAGGCTGGTTATTTTCTGTGTACCTAGAGTGCTGATCTCGTATTCCGTTGACGAAGTAGACGATGAGTCTTTTGCTAATTGATAATCTTTGTGTAAAAACACAACTGTTTAGTTACCTTAAAAAGAAACTAACAGATCATTTCTCACAAGGAATGTTAATTAAGCCAAATTGCTAGCTAAAGAAAATGAATCCTTTCTCCTAAGGATCGTTGATCGAGCTAAATAATTAGTCAATGAGACTGATCTGTAAAGATCAATGAGAATGGAGGAGGGATGAGCT